CCTAGTTTTTGGGACTCTCTCAGCTTCCTGGGGTTGTAGGTCTATTTCCTTCACCAGGTGAGGGAAGTTTTCCATCATTATTTCTTCAAATATATATTTAACTTCTTGTTCTCCCTCTTCATGTACCCCTATGACACAGATATTTTTACATTTAATAGTGTTCCATAGATTCCTTAAATTATTATTTTTTCTTGCCATTTTGATTGTGTGTCCTTGGCTTCCCCATCCTCTATATCGGTGGTTCGATCCTCTTATCCACTCTGTTGATTCCATCTAATACACTCCTCACCTCAGATATTGTGTTCTTCATTTTTGACCAGTTCCCTTTTATAATTTCCATTTCTATTTTTGTTTTCTATCTCTTTGTTAAAGTTCCCAATGAATTCATCTACACTTCCCCTAAGTTTACTAGCATCTTTATAACCAGTGTTTTGAACTCTACATCTGTTAATTGCTTGACTCAATTATTCCTGGATCTCTGTTCTCTTCTCTCATATGGCTTCTGCTTGTCTTCCCATTTGGCTGCCTTTCTGTGTCTGTTTCTATGTACTAAACAAAGGTCCTAAGTCTCTGGGTCTTATTAGTGCGGCTTTGTTTGGTAGGTGTCTATTGGCACAGTCCTGAGAGAGGTTCAACTGCAGGCCAGATTTAGCCCCAGCCTGTGCCCCTCCAGGGCCACCTGTTAAGATTCAGCAAGCAGCTCACAGGTTCTATGCTGATAGTAGCCTCAAAAGGCCACACCAGAAACCGAAGCCAGCTGCCACCACTGTGAGTCTTGGCGCTGCTCAGAAAGGGCACCTGACTCACCAAGGACACACCTGGATGTGGCTTGGGTGGGGCCGCGTGTTGGGGGAGGCGGAGTTTTAGGAAATCCTCTGGGCAGAGAGACCTGTTATCTAATTTGATGAAATCTCATCTGTGGTGGCACTTAGTGTGCACACTGGGAGCGGGGTGGGCTCAACAGAGGAACAATGGATACCACTGGCACTTCTGTCCGAGAGAGAGCCTCGCCTCTACCCCTCACTCTGACAACTCAGTGTTCCCCTGTAAGTCCTTGGTGCCCCCCCTGCATGGCCAAATCGGCACTGGTGCTCAGAACAAGCAGATCCGTCACCCGAAACTCCACTGGCACACACGGCCCCTTTAAGAGGCGTCTGCAGCTACCGCTGCCACTGCCACAGCTTAAGTCCCACTCACCTGCTCGGGACCGAGCAGCCTTGCTTCTTCACCCCCTCCTACCTTCTACTGTTGGAGGTTGATTAATTATTTCTCTCCTTAGTTCTAGTGCTTCTGTTCATCTAGATTCCAGGTGACTTTCCTTGCCATTTGCTCCATGTTTCTGTTACAACTTTGTTTTGGTCCAAAGAGGAATGAACAAAGCTTCTATCATCTACTCCACATTCCCCTCTCCCATTTTTTTTCAATTGGAGAAAATATTGGAGAATATTACCATGTTGAAAGTAATCTAATTTTATATTTCAGAATCTAGTTCACCTAAGTCTGAGCCACATCGCTTAACTCTGTTTTCATCTTTTATCAAATTAAGAGCTCTTCCCACAGACACTTGGTAAATGGGACTGTTGACATTCGGGGATGTGGCCATCAAAGTTGATCAGGAGGAGTAGGATGGCTGAGCCTCTCAGAGGGACTTGTACATGGACGTGTCATTGAAGAACTCTAGGTACCTGGTCTTGCTAGGTGAGGACTTCCTTCCAGCATTTCTACTGTGCCCTTAGAGTCCAGTTTCTTTTACATATAGAATGTCTCTTGGGAGTTTCTGCGTTGCATGACTGAATTTCTGATCCTATTTGGTGGATGCTCTTTGGGGTTTTTTGGTGTAAAATTCATGGTGTTTCCTCTTGATATTTACCCTCCACTTTTGCAAGATAATCTTCATTCTTCACCCTATATTAGTGATAATTCTAGAAATTCAGTGTCACAAAGTATTGTTGCCTCCATCTGAAACCCCAGTTTTTACCCCATATGTTTATATTTCATATTAGTACTTGACGTGGAGTTCATATCTGTAAATTGAAAATGCTTTCTAAGCATCATAAAGAGGCTGTCAGGAAAGTGTTTGGGGAAATAATTTTCTGTATCCTTTTATAATGTATTCTCTACTTAGCCCAATACTGGGTTAGAAATTGTAGTGTTTTAGCAAGGGTCATACTCCTCTTTCCAATAACAGTTCTTATTGTCTCTATGCCAAATCTAGTCTCGCTTTGGAGTAAAGGAAATAGCCCTGGAATATGAGGAGGCAGCAGTTGTACACCCAATTAGTAGGAATGAAGAAAGCAGATGACACAGTGAGAAGTCCAAAGGTCAAGGTGGAAGCCTGACCTTAAAATGTGTCTTGGGAAGATGTGCTTCACTGGAAGTGATTTTCAGAAGCCCAGGTTTTGTTCTCTTATTGTCACAGAGGAACCTATCCTGTCCCATCTGAGGGTTCCTACATCCTCTAAGGATTCTCCATTCCTGCGATCTCCATCACACTCCCTGTGAGAGCCGAGGCCTCCCCACGGACGGTGAGGGCCTGCATGGTGTCACTGTACTTCCATTGCTTTGGGGGCCTGAAACAATCTGCTCGTATGGAGTTCCTACATACAGACCAAGTGTGAGTGTCCCTTCCCCTATCTTTGAGTGCCCTTGCCTCCTACAGACTCCTACAAATTTGCTAAAACCTAGGAAATGTGGGGTAGACACTTCTCTATCAGATCTTAGGCAGAGCAGGCCACCCATGCGGCTTTCCTGTGGTCCAGACCTGTAACCAGTCCTCAGAAATGTCCCTGGGATCCTCCAAGTGTTTAATCCTGGCCTCCCGATAGAATACGCTGGGCCACTCCACAAAGACATCATTGGTGCTGGTCCCTGCCATGGAATAACTGACAGAATCTCTGAAAGTAGGACACAGGAGATGGTAGTTCTAAAACCACACAGGGGATGCCAATGGGAAGTAAAGCCTAGGAGGACTTTGCTGACCATTGCTCATCAAACTTTCATGTCCTTACACATCACTCGAGGATCCCATAGAGAACAGATCCTAGGCCCCACACTCACTCTACCTCCACAGATTGGAGCTGAGGCCCGTTCCTTTGCCTTTTTAACAACCACGAAGGTTGCTGCTCCAAGACCTTATTTTCATCAGCACTCAGCTGGAGAAAGCAAGAGCACATGAGCACTTTACACCCAGCTCTCCTGTCTCAGCACAAATACTGCCTGTTCCTAGTGAAGATCACCTAGCACATTATCCAGAGATGACTTTCTCCACTATGTTCCAGTTGAGAGGGGAAAGAGAAGGAAGTCATGTCTCTGTAAGGCTGTGGTTGGAAAACAACATCAACCTGTTCACAAGAGCAGTGTTAATCGAGGAAGACTTCCTCTGAGAGCTCCTAAGAAGTAAACTTATTTCCCAGAGATCTTTCAATTTCAGGAGCCTTTTTCAAAAGCAATGGAGCAGCTTGCTCTGTGTTCATGTGAGCTTGTACTTGCGTTTGCATCTTGATTCATTATCGCCTTTTGGATTTTCTCCTATTTTCCCTTCACTTTCCAGGTCCAGGGCTCATTCCCTTGTTGCAAAGTGAAGATCATATTTAGCTCAAACATTTCAAAATATAAAGAAAAATGGACCATGCTATGACATGCTACGCTTTTCCAGAACACATTCCCAGATCTTTGTTCAGCTAAGAGAGACTATTATACACAGGTCTGGGAAAGCATTTCAAACCATAGTAAACTGACTCCCTCCTCCTGAAGGCTGAGGAATACCTTTGAATATGCAGAGCACTAGCTGTCTTCCAAGAGCTCCTGAATCAAAAGCACAAGGGTGAAAACCATGGAATCACCCAGTGGACAGGGAGGGTGTTCTTAGTTTGGCACAAAGTGAGAGAAGCAGACAGAAGCAAATATTAACTCAGCTGGTGAGTGTTCTGACGGATCCATGATAAGTAATTTGGAGGAATTTATATCTCTTTGTTTTTATGTGAAATTCAAGTAATATAAGGTTGGCCTTGTTAAAGTACAGTTCAGTGGCATTTAGTACCTTCAGAATGTTATACAAATATCACATCCAGTTCTAAAGTATTTTTGTCAGCCACAGAGGAAACCCTTTACCCATAAATCAGTTGCTTCCATTTCCCTTCCCCCACTCTCTGGATACCACGAATATACTGTCTATGTGGATTTAGCTCTTCTGGATATTGCATGTACGTGGAATTGTGTGAAATGTTGAGTCTTGGCCTCCATGGTGAGTGGCGACTAGGAAGAAAACTGCTGCTCCGTGTGTGTCGGTGTGAACTTGCCCATTCTACCCAGGGAGAGCTTTGTCATTTCACATTCTAGATGTTAATCCACACATAGACAACTGCAGGCCTTGTTTAATTAATCTGCTTAAATTAGTTCTAATCTCAGAAATGTACCTGTTTCCCACCCCTCCCCACATCCCGCTCACTGACACCCAGTTCCTGCTGGGTTGCTGCAGTCCGACAAGCAGTACCTGCGTGCAACCAGCCTGCAAAAATAGTTTTTGACTTAAATCTCTTTAAACTTGTTAAGCGGAAAACATTTTAGTTTCCAACACGAGTGGCTCAGATAACTCTAATATTTTATTTTCAAACTGTTAGACATATTAACTTAAAATGGGGCGGCAGCTTCACCTGGGACTAAAGACACCCTAAAAAGTCTTGGGTGCTAAGCTCTGGAATTCCCAAGCCCCGCCCCCATCTGAACTTTAACGCGATTTTCTTTTCACTTCGTCGCGGACACTCCGCATGCCTGACACCTCAAACCGTTCCGCTTTAGGCTGCTCGACTCCTCCCCCACTCCTCCTCCAAGCCCGTGTGTCGGCTTTATTTTTCTTCGTGGTCAATGTGCAGGCCTGGTCTCTTCCCCGACCCCGCCCCTTGTCCACGTTCCTCCACCCCGTTCCCGCCCCTAAGCCCTTCGCCCCCTTCCCGAACATGCGCATGCCTGAACTCTCCAGGACCCGCCCCACCACCATTTCCTCATCTTACTGGAGGGCATTTGCTCAGGTCTGATCCCTCACCAGGCGCAGGTCGCAACATGACCCTCTTTTCCCTCCGCATGCCAATTTTGCAGACAAGGGAACGAAGTGCTGGAAGTGGAGATTCAGCTATCACCGTGAGTTTCCGTCTTTGTAGCATAAACCTGCTTTTCACAGCCTCCCTTTCTTCTTGTAGGGGTCTGGGGTCGCCGTGGGCCTTATCTTCCCCTCAGCCAGCCCTTACCTCTTTATTTTCAGGTGTTGCAGTTAGGGCCGAGCGCTAACGTTGGCGTGTGAAATAGCTCCGGGGTTGCCCTCTGCGGTCCGCTTCTCTGTCTTTTGTCGATGTAGATCCGCCTTTCACCTGTTTTCCTTCGTAAAACCCTTCCCTGACCTCTCGGCCGGTCAGGCGCCCTCACAGCATTCCGTGAGGTGGGTTCGCGGCAGCGCCTTGCTCTCGCGGTCCCTGAGGCAGCGCCGACCATCCCGGCCCAGGAGACGCCGCATCTTCTCCCTAGACTTGGGATTCTAGGGCCCCCAACCCTCTCCTGAGACAGCCTCCCGCGTCCTGCCCTCGCGTACCCCTGAGGCCCAGTCCGTCTGTTCCTCACGCCTCTCCTTCGTAACCACCTTTTCTCTGACCCCGCGGTCGTATGGGTGACCAAGGGTCTGCCCTGTGCTCTCCACTGTTCTTCCGTCCCACATTCCACTCCTATGGGAAGTGTGCGCTTCGGGGAGGCAGGCTTCTCATTCCATACCACTCCTTCTCTGCGGGAGAGGGAAATACAGAAAGTGAGGGGAGAGTGAGGAGAACATGTCATTGTGGAGAATGAGTGAGGGACTTGCAAGGAGATAGTAAGAGTGAAAGTAGTGGGGAAGTAGCAGGAACATAGAAGTTTGGAGAAAATTGGGATTTCCAGGGAGATGACGGCGAGCAAACAGAGGAACCCGCGGAAGAACAAGGGTTCTGTAAGGTATCAGGAATTTCCAACTGGGTAGTCACACCCCTAGGCCTTTGACTTCTTTAAGTGAAAGGTTTCGAATTCAGCCTTGTCCATTGCTCTTACGCATTCAAGTTAACACACCTTTGATGTAGGGGAAGTAATTAATGCCCCTCCAGACTTGACCACCCTCAAGAGCACATCGTCTTGTTAGCTGTCCTGTAAACTATCCCTGCCCCGCTTTTTCTCATTTTCATGTAATCTTATTTTACGTTCCTTTCTTAATTTTTGTTTTCGGGACCATTTCAGATCTTGCTCCCCAGCATATGTTCTCAGTTTCGTGCAAATAAACTTTTGAGACATGAGGAGGAGAGGGGAACAAAAGAGTGGAATAGCAAAAATGGAAGAAACATGGAGGTAGATATACAAAAGGAGTGAGGGCTACACATAGAAGTGAGGAAAGATGGGGAGTTCACTTCATCATATGTATCCAATGGAAATGAAATATTTTGAAGAGATAACTGTGTTCTCATGAGCCAAAAATCAACCTAAAAGTGTTGACAGATGAATGGAGAACATAAATGTGATGCATATGTTCACACAATGAAGTATTATTCAGCTGTAAAAATGAAGGAATGAGCAACGTAGAAGAAACAGGAGAACATTACGCTAAGGGAATTAAGCCAGACAAAAAGACAAGTGTTGCGTGATCTCACAGTATTTGCTAACTAGAAGTCAAACTCACAGGACCAGAGAGAATGGTTGTTACCAGGGGCTGTGAGTCGAGAAAATGAGGAGATGGTGGTCAAACAGGACAAACTTTCAGTTGTGAAATGAATATGATGCCATTTTTAAAGCACCACATCTTGAGTATACTTAATTGCACTGTACTACATACTTGGAATTTGCTGAGAGAGTCCTAAAGTCCTAAGTCCTAAGGTCCTCACCACACAGACATAAAAAATAGTCATTGTAAGTTGAAGGGTGTGTTAATTTGGTTGATTATGATAATTATTCTACATTGTACATGTATTTCAAATGATCATATTGTATTTCTAAGTACACATATATTTTATTTGTCTATCATGTCTCAATAAACCTGAGAAAGAAAAAGCAGATAGGAGGTGTGCTAGCCTTGACTCTGGGCAGTGCTAAACCAGCTTCACATTAGTTACTATGCATTTTGCAGTGACATTTTTTGTGCCCCCTGACTAGGAAGTGCCACTCAAATAATCAGGGTGGGTCCAGCCTCAATATTTAAAGTGCTTCAGGTGACACTAATCTGTATCCATCCTTGAGCAAAAGGCTCTCAGTCTTCCATTTCTGGGGGCGGAGATCTGAGGTGAGTTTGAGGGAGCTTTTCCTCTGCTGGCGGTTAGTTCATGGCCAGGGCTGTGACCTGAAGGGGATTTTTAGGCCAGCTTAAGTGCCTACTGCTGCAGTGTATATGAAGGTGTGACCAGAAGGGCAGCATGATCTGAAGAAAGGAGAGTGGAAGCTTGCTTGTTGGTCCCTGAATGTGTACTGTGGCAGGGGCAACGAACACCATCTTTTCCACCTTGTGAGGTCTTTTCTTTCTACATGCTTGGGGCAGAATATGGGGATATATTGATAAACAGCATATTTTCAACTTTCCAGACTGACTTCTAAAGACTTGTTGCCTGAGGAGGAAGCGAAAGAAAGGGGTTCAGCTATGGCTGTTTCTCAGGTAAAGTCATATTCTTGGTTAATTGTTGTTTCTGTCCTTCCTGATTGCCCTTTGACTTGCTATTCTTCACTGACTCTGAATCGTCCTGCTTGATGTTTTGTTTGTTGACACTCAACCTGGGTCTTTCTCAGTCCCTCTCATCTCTAGTTAGATTCCATCTCACTGTGATTCAGTGACAGTGGGACTTGTGAAGAGGCTCTACTGGGCATCGTCCTGGGCAGGGAGGGATTCATGCCCTTGGATTCAAGTTGGTGTGTGGACCCCGTGGCATCAGTGCAGTTGCAGTGGAGATTGTTCAGGGGCCACATCCTGGTGCACTGTCATCTCTGTTAACCAGGATAAAAGATTATTCACATAGGTGTCATGTATTGATAAGCACAAATACCTCCTTTCTGGAAAAGAGACCAGTAGGGGACATCTTTCTGACTGCTTTTATGATGCTTTTGAAGCTAAAGGAGTGAGTCATTGACTTCAAAATCTTCATGATTGGGAATGGAGTGGAAAGTTCACAGACATACATTGGTGACAGGGGATGTTTTATTCCGTCATCCATTTTAAAATAGGAAATCAACCGTAATGGCTGACAGTTGGAGATTCTTTAGATCGTTTTTCTCAATCCATTTCTCGGAGGTTGCATTTTCACCCTCTGGATTGTGTCCTTTGACATACAGAAGGTATTGTTTGATGTAGGTAAGGTTCCAGCTTTATTCTTTTGCATGTAGATATTCAGGGTTTTTTGCATGGTTTGTTGAATGGAATGACCTTTCTCTGTTGTGTAGTCTGGGAGGCTGTGGAAAATCATTTGGTATCTATGCAGGGGTTTATTTCAAGGCATTCTCTTTTGTTCTACTGGTTTAGACATCTGGATTCATGGGCAGTATCCCATGGACCTGATTAATCTTTGTAATGTTTTTCAGTGTAAAAAAAATGAAGACTTTGATTTCTATTTCGAGACTGTTTTGGTTCTTCTGCACCTTTTTTTTTTTTTGCTTGATTCCATTTGAACTCTAGCATTTTATTCTGTTTTGTTTTGTTTTTCCCCATTTCTGGCAATATTGCCTTTGGAATTTTGATAAGGATTCCATCGAAGCTGAAGAATATTGGAGTAGCATGGGCATTTAAACAGTATTAAACCCTGCAATCCACAAGTAAGGGATTTCTTTCTATTTATATGTACCTCCTTTGATTCCCTTTTACAATGTTTTGTAGTTTTCGGTATTTAAGTCCTTCGCTTTCTTGGCTGTTTATTCCTACATAGGTCATCATTTATGATACTACAATAAATTGGCTTTAAAAAATTTTTTAGATTGTTTATTGCAACTTTTCTAACATACTTATCCATTTTGAACACTTTTGTGTCTTGAATCTTTATGGTTTTCTATTTGTAAGCTCTTTCATGTGGAAAAGAGAGAATTTTACTTTTCAATTTGGATGACTTTTCTTGTCATAATTACTCTGGCTAGGACTTCTAGTACTTTGTTGAATTATGTGCTGCAAATATGCATCATTACCTTTTTCCGCATCTTAGAGCTAAGGCTTTCAGCTTTTCAACATTTAATATGACCCTAGCCGTGTTCTTTTCAAGTATGGCGTTTATTATATCGTAGTAGTTTACTGTAAATAGTTTTTGAAAAATTGTTGAATTTAATTAAATGCCTGCTCTGAGTTAGTTGAGATCACATGTTTTCTCTTTGTGTTCATTCTCTTCATGGGGGTTAATTGATTCATTTTTATATGTTGAAACGGTTTTGCCTTACAGGAATAAATTTCATTTGGTCATGATGCATAATTGTTTTAACATGCTGTTGAACTTGTTTTACTAGTATTTCGTTTTTGCATCAATACTAATGAGTATTAGTATTTTTTTCTTATGCCATCTTGGGTTTGGTATCAGAAACATACAGACTCTAGAATGAGTTTGCAAGGGTTTATTCTTGAATTTTTTGGAAGATGTTTATCAGGATTATTGTTATTTTTTTTTATTACTGTTTGATAGAATTTAGCGGTGAAGCCATCTGGTCTAGGTTTTTGGTGTTTTTTTTTTTTAATTCTTTCATGCTTTTGATTAGCACTTGAATCTCTATCTCTTGGTTCATATTTTTAATTTTTTTAATGATTGGTTTTTGTGTGTTATTAGGAATGTACTCATTGACTTCTAGATTATGTAATAATTTCATATTGTATGACTTACATTACCCTCTTAACGTTTAAAATTTTTCTGTGACATTAGTTAAAATGATCCCTGTTTCATTTCTTTTTATTTATTTATTTTTATTTTTATTATGATGACATTGGTTAAGGAAATCCAGTCAGTAAGTTTCAGGTGTACAATTTAACAGGAAGGCATTGTGTGTTCATCACCCATAAGTAGGTTTGTTACTGTCACCACATATTTGACCCGTTTTACCCTATCTACCTCCTTCCTATCTCTGGTAACCAGTAGTCTATTGTCCATGTCTATGACTCTCTGTTTGTCCTATTTGTTTGTTGCTTTTAGGTTTATATCCCACATATAAGTGATATCATGTGGTTTTCAACTTTTTCTGTCTGGCTTATTTCACTTAGAATGATAATATCGAGATCCATCCATGTTGTCGCAAATGGCAATATTTCGTCTCTTCTTATGGCAGAGTAATATTCCATTGTATATATGTACCACAGCTTCTTTAGCCAGTCATCTATCGTAGGATACTTCGGTTGCTTCCATGTCCTGGCCACCATGAATAATGCTGCTATGAACATCGGTATGCAAATATCTTTTCAGATATGGGTTTTCAAGTCTTTGGGGTAAATACCCATTAGAGAGATTGCTGGATCATATGATAGATCAATTCTTAGTTTTTTGAGGACCCTCCATACTGTTTTCCACAGTGGCTGTACCAATTTGCAGTCTCATCACCAGTGCATGAAGGTTCCTTTTTCTCGGCATCCTCTCCAACACTTGTTATTACTTGTCCTGTTGATAACAGCTATTCTAACAGGTGTGAGATGCTATCTCATTGTGGTTTTGATTTGCATTTCTTTAATAGAGGTGTTCAGCATCTTTTCACAGGTTTGTTGGCCATTGTATGTCTTGGGTGAAGTGTCTGTTTAAGTCTTCTTCTCATTTTTTGATTCGATTGTTTTCTTGTTGTTATTTAGTTGATGAGTTCTTTGATATTTTAGACCTTAGGCCCTTAATCGGAGGTGTTCCTTGCAAATATATTTTCCTATTTGGATGGTTGTCCTTTACCTTGTCGATGGTTTCTTTTGCTGTGTAAAAGCTTTTTAGTTTGATGTAGTCCCATTCATTTATTTTTGCTTTTACTTCCCTTGCCTTTGAGGTCAAACTCATAAAATCCTCAAACTCATAAAGTTCAAGTTCCAAGAGTTTAGTTCCTCTGTTTTCTTCTATGCGGTTTATTGTTTCAGATCTTATATTCAGATTATTAATCCATTTTGAGTTAATTTTAATGTGTGGTTATGGACAACAGACTAGTTTCATTCTTTTACAAGTGGCCTTCAATTTTCCCAGCACCATTTATTTAAGAGGCTTTCCTTTCTCCACTGTATGATTTTGGCTCTTTTGTCGAAACTTATTTGCTCATATAAACATGAGTTTACTTCTGGACTCTCGATTCTGTTCCACTGGTCCGTGTGTCTGTTTTTCTGCCAATACCATGCCATTTTGATTATTGTCACTTTGTAGTACAGTTGGAAGTCAGGCAGAGTGATGCCTCCAGACTCGTTCTTTTTTCTCGGGATGGCTTTGGTGATTCATGGTCTTTTGTGTTTCCATATGAACCTGATGATTTTCTGTTCTATTTCTTTAAAAAGTGCCAATGGGATTTTGATGGGGATTGCATTAAATCTATGTAATGCTTTATAGGTAATAAGGTCATTTTAACTGTTTTTTTTTTCCCAGTCCAAGAACACAAAATATCTTTCCATTTCTTTGTATCTTCTTCAATTTCTTTTAATAGGGTCTTGTAGTTTTCATCATATAGGTCCTTCATATGTTTCGTTAAATTTATTCCTAGGTATTTTATTCTTTTCGTTGTAATTGCAAAAGGAATTATTTTTCCACTTCTTTTTCTGACACCTCGTTGTTAGAGTATAGGAACGCTATGGATTTTTGAACATTGATTTTGTATCCAGAGACTTTACTGTATTTGCTTATTGTTTCTAGTAGTGTTCTTGTGGAGGCCTCAGGATTTTCTAAATAGAGAATCATGTCATCAGCAAATAGTGAGAGTTTGACTTCTTCCTTTCCTATTTGGATGCCTTTTATATCTTTCTCTTGCCTGACTGCACTCGCTAGGACTTCCAATGTTATATTAAGTAACAGCGGTGATAGTGGACCAGCCTTGCCTTGTTCTTGATCTTAGAGGGAAGGTTTTTAGTTTTTCACCATTAAGTATAATGTTGCCTGACGGTTTGTCATACATGGCCTTTATTATGTTAAGATACTTTCCTTCTATATCAATTTTTTTAAGTGGATACTGTATCTTGTCAAAGGCTTTTTCTGCATCTATTAATATGATCATATGATTCTTTTTTTGTTTTTTAATTTGTTTATATGGTATATCACATTAATTGATTTGCATATGTTGAACCATCCCTGTTCCCCTGGGATGAAACCCACCTGATCATGGTGTATAATCTTTTTAATATGTTGCTGTATTCAGTTCGCTAGTATCTTATTAAGGAATTTTGTATCTGCGTTCATGAGAGATATTGGTTTGTAGTTTTCTTCTTTTGCGTTATCTTACCAAGTTTTGGCATCAGGGTAATATTGGCCTCATAAAATGAGTTGGGAAGTATTGCCTCCTCTTGGATTTTTTGGAAGAGTTTGAGGAGAATAGGTATTAAATCTTCTTTGAATGTTTTGTAGAATTCACTGGTGAAATCATCTGGTCCTGGACTTTTACTGTTTGGTAGGTTTTTGATGATTGTTTCAATTTCCATACTGCTGATCGGTCTATTTAGATTTTCCGGTTCTTGATTTGGTCTAGGAATGT